GACGGAGCGGGCAACGAGACAGAAGAGTGCCTGGGCAGCAGCAGGGGAGGGCAGCTGGGGGCGTAGGGAGTGCAGATGTCTGGGGAGCATTTTATTCTTAGTTTTATCCTGGGTGGGTGGTGGGCGAATCTGTGTCTCCCCACCAAATATTCATGGAACTCTCTGTTTCTCACTGATGCATTTGGAGTTGGTTATTTTAGGGGGCTGCATCTAAGTGCTGTGAACCATGACCTGCTTCAAGGAGGGCAGGGGTGAGACAGGCTGCCCACGGGGCATCCAGTCGTCTCTGCATCATGTGCCTTCTGGTTTAAGCCTTAAATCAGTCACATGCAGGGGCCTGCCCTCTGTTCCTCCTTAGGTCATGGTAAAGCCCTTTGCCTCCCCCGTGGCCAAAATCAAACATCCGTGTAACTGCCCTGCAGAAGTAAGAACAGAAATGAGCTCTATTCTTGAGAATGACTGCAGATAGCAGCCTGGCCAGGAAGGCACAAAAGGCAGCGTGTGTGACACATTTGTCATTGCTCGTAATTTTAAAATTGCATTCCAAGCTGTTGGACTTGGATTTGAATACATGAGGGGAATGGGGACAAGATCAAACCCACCATCAAAGATGCTTTCACACTCCATGTGGCCAAGTGGCTTTTGTTGTGTGTTTCGCAGGGTGCTGGGTCTGTGACTAGTGTTAAGACTCTGTGTCCTGCTGAGGAAACTCAGAGACTTTGAGAACAGGAAAGGATTCCCCTGTCTATTCTGGGTGGTCCACCCACACGGGTTACAGACAGCCCTGCCGAGAGGCAGAGGGAGGGCGTGATGCGTCCCTGGCACATCTAGATGATCTTGTATAATGGGCACATGACTTCGTCTCTATCCTCGTGAGAATAAAAGTTGAAAACTAGGTTCCATTTCTTATCAGTTTGCAGTGACAGAAATTGGCAGAGGATGGGAGTAAAGGGAGTCACAGGTGTTTCTGATGCCAAGTGGTGTAATCCCCCAGCCCCTCCTGGGAATGTATGATAGGGGTTGACAGCCCAGAAGAAGCTGTCCCAGGTCTGACCTGTCATTTCCACAGCTTTAGCAACACCCGGAACCGTCTTTATCAACACCAAGTTCCTGTGGCCTGATGTGGGCCAGATGAGATGAATGCGGTAGAATATACTCCCCTCTGAGAAGGAGAGCTGAGGAGTGAGCTCTCTGTAAAGTAATATGGACATACCAGTCCACTCCTGACTCTTTACTACAAGGGGAGAAATAATCCAAAACCACAGTAACTGTGGCTTGAGGGTTTCCCAGTGGACAGGACAGAGACACTCAGGCCAGCTCCAAGGGCCTCTGCCTGAGGGCTGTGGGACGTGGACAGTGGCAGCAGGATACCTCGGGCATTTGGAACACTCACCTTGCAGGTCGCCCAAGGTGATGGTGTAGCTACCGGGAGTGAAAAAAGGCGAGAGTTTGTGGTGTTCTTCAAAGCAGGCTTGGGAGGCAGCCTACTAAAGCAGACTGTCTGCCTTGTTTCCATCGTCACTCCCAGGGTTTGACCAGAGTGACTTTTCACTGTTCCAAACATCAGATAGACCCAAAATTGGGAGACTGCTGCAGAAATCCAAATCCAGGGTATTCTAGACACTTCAGACAATGTGGGGAAAAGTTTTACCAGCAGCATAAACATCTTTAGGTATAAATGGCTTACGTGTTCATTTCAAAGGAAGCTTGTTCTCTGAGCAGCAGGAGGCTTGCTCAGGCTTGTGATAATTCAAGTGGGTCTGTGGACTCTTGTCCCTGGAGATGAAGACTCACTCTCCCATCCTTCCCTCTGTTTGGTACCAGCAAACCAGAGGCAGTGGGAAGGACAACATGATCTTTGGAGAACCTGGAAACCCAATGGGTCCGGTAGTCCGTTTCACGGGATCTTTTCTCCAAATCAAAAATACCATTAGTTATGTTAAGAAAGAAAAGAAAGCCAGTGGCCATTTTAGTTTACATCTGAATTTTTAAAATGTTAGAAAATATACTCGAGGTGTGATGAGATGAGGTGCCTGTCCGCTGCCCTCACGGTGTCGTGGCACAGATGTGAACTTCGAACTGTGAATAACGGGAATGCCAACCAACACTGGCTTCAGGTAGGGCTTTGTCTCCCACGTGCAAGAAGTCTGGTCTAGGCAGCTGCAGGGGATTCCATGGCTCACTAACGTCAGGGGTGAAGATGGATTCTTTCAGCCTTTCCCTCCTCTTGTTCCCATTCAAAGCAGGAAAGGAGGGGGAACGGGCAGCGCCAGCTGAAGCTGCCTAGTTATCAGGGAAGACCAGAGGGGTCTTGAAACAGCTGACTTCTTTGGACAGAAATTTGTCCCATGTCCAACCCTGGCTGCAAGGGAGCCGGGAAAATGAGAGCATCTGTTTTGTTTCAGCCATCCTAGTTGGGACAGTTCAGGGAGAAGAGGGAGAAAGTGGATACTGGGTTAGCCAACCGGCAGTTTCTGTCTCCCAGTTCCTTCCCTTACTGGCTGCTAAACGCAGAGAAGTTGCCTCACCCTTCCAAACTTCCATTTTGCTGTTTGTGTGGTAATGGGTGTGTTTGAGATTTAAAATCAGGTAATTGAAGTAACACTCCCAACGGAGTAAGCCAGCGTCAGTAAACTTGAGCCCCTGCAGCCCTCCCCCTCCCTGAGTCAGGCAGAGATTCTGCGGAAACCTGCGGTGGAACCCGGAACAATTCCTGCTGTCTGCCGGAACGCCCGGGGCCTCCTGGGGAGGGCCTGCTGTGTCACTCTGCAGCCTTTGCCCCCTCCCTACACCAGAGCTCAGGTGCGTGCTTTGAGGAGGCGCAGCTCTCCTTCCCCTAGGATGCTGGCCGTGGGCTGGCCCACGCTTGGCAGTTCTGGGCGCTGGAGGGGCATAGAGGAAGGAGCACAGACCAGGAATTTCAGTTCTGTGATCCAGGGCTTCGGTTCTCGGAGTCTGTGTGGTTCGGTGATTCCACAACTCCTTTCCCATCCCTCTGCTCCCCCGGAAGCCTGCTTCTTAATGTCCACCAAACGTCATGACTAAGGGCCCAGGCTAGAATCAGACTGCCTATATTCCAAATCCTGCCTGTGTGACCATGACCGAGTTACTCAGCCGTTCTCAGCCGCAGTTCCTGCAGCTGTGCATCGGGGTTTCTGCTAGTCGCACCTGGCTTCCAGGGTCGTCAGGATGAATGAGGATGACCCACATCAATGCTTGGCACACAGTAAGCGCACAGTAAATGTTTCATACTATTCTCAGCCCCTCCACTTCTGTATTCCTTCCTCCTTGACACCAGCCTCTGTCTGGCTTTAAAATGCCGTGCTGTGCCTTCTGCAGATGGACACCGCTCGCCCTTTGCGGACTAGCCTATCAGGAACGACACTCGGAGAGCTCCACCCTTGCCCTGTGGTCCAGGGTGTGTTTCTCCAACAGGCCACCTGTTTTCTCCCACAAACTGGACAGCTGCCTCTCAGGATGTTGGAGCAGAAGGTGAGGAATGGGAAGCTCTCTAAGAGAAAAGAACTCAAAAGCAGCTTGAGCTCTAGATGGAAGACGTGCATGCACGTGTGAAAGTGTTTCAAGTCTTGGAACCTCAGCAGCTCGGTCACATCGCAATGTGTCACTTCACCTGGCTCCTTTGTTTAAAGATTCCCCTCCCCCTTTTCCACCTCCCTGGGCCCTGGATCTTCTGACAGCATCAGAGTTAGATGCCGTTTATGGGCTGCTTTGATGAGTGTCCTAATAGAGGTTTAATCACCACTCATAAACTGCTGCGCGCCCACTGGCACAGGGAGGCAGGGGAGTGCACGACTCTTATTAATAGTCCAAGCCCAGAGGACACTGAAGGGTATAGTGAGTGTGTGTATGTGATGGGAGAGGAGCAAAAAGACATCCCTGACTTCACATGCATAGTACATATGTATACACAGACGCAAACCCTCTTAACACGTGCACATGTGTACACTCACTGCACACACAAGCTCAACCTGTGCCTGGTGTGCACACTTGCATATACACTTTCCCCTCCTGGACCACTGTATTCGTTTTGGAGGGCGTCATCTTATCAGGACCCAGTCATATTGGACTATGAGCCCACCCTACTCCAGTAGGATCTTATGTTAAGTAATTACATCAACACCGACCCTATTTCCACATAAGATCACTTTCTGACCACTGGGAGTTAGAACTTGAACATAGCTTTTGTGGGGGACACAGTTCAACCTGTAAAAACTGCTGAGATTGTTTACTGTATCTGCAGAGAACAAATAAGTGGAGCTAGAGGAAAGCGGTGTGGTACAGAGAGGAGGTGGGTTGAGTTGGGAACACACACACACACACACACACGTCAGCAGACCTTTGGAGAGTGTGTTTATATCTGTCAGATACCTGGAACAGCACCTGAAATGTGGAAGGGTCCCAATAATGTTAGTTTCTTTCCTTCTCTACACGTAAAAGAGAATGTGTGTGAAGATGTTCTTGCTCAATGGGGAGATAGTGGACATTTGTCCGTCTTGTGTGAGTGGAGCGTGGCAGACTGCTGACTTGTGAAGAAGGAATCCTGTGTGTCTCTGCATTTACTGAGAATGTGAATATGAAGCAAACTGCAGAGTGTTGTATAAATGTCAGCTGTTATTCCTCAGTGTGTCTGTGTCCTTTTATCATGAATTCTTATTTATTATGAGGAAAGAGACCACGGGGTCATATCTGATCCCAGGCACATGGGCCTGTCCTTCTGTGTGCCTTTTTGGGCATGAAGTGGGACCCAGGGGTCTTATCCAACACCAAGACTGACAGGAAGGGTCCTTTCTTTTTTTTTTTTTTTTTTTTTTTTAAAGATTTTTATTTTTTTCCTTTTTCTCCCCAAAGCCCCCCAGTACATAGTTGTCTATTCTTCGTTGTGGGTCCTTCTAGTTGTGGCATGTGGGACGCTGCCTCAGCGTGGTCTGACGAGCAGTGCCATGTCCGCACCCAGGATTCGAACCAACGAAACACTGGGCCGCCTGCAGCGGAGCGCGCGAACTTAACCACTCGGCCACGGGGCCAGCCCCAGGAAGGGTCCTTTCTTGATACTCCAGCTGGCCCACAGCGGGTCCGTATACACCCATTCCCCGACACGTGTCCTGGGTTCTTTGTCTATGAAATTCAACTTAATAAACATGCATTGAACACCTGCTGTGTACAAAACACTGCTGGGCACCCCAGAAGGTTAGAATGGAAGAACATTGCTAGTCTTCCAGAAGCTCGCAAATAGCCAGAATCCACGAGGCAAGAGAGGCTATAAAAGGGACCCAAGAAGACCTTCGGGGGCACTGAAGAAGAGATTAATTTCTGTCTTGGTAACTGGGACACTTTCTGGAGTTGGTGGTATTTAAGATGGACCACGAATAGAACAAGAATCTAATAAACAGGAGAAGGGCAGGATGTTCAAATAGAGGACACAGCAGGGTTCAGGCCAGGTCCAGGAAAGGGTAAGTGGTTTAGTTTGGCTGGAGGGTAAGGTGCATGATGGGAAATGGTGAGCAGTTAGACTGCAAAGATGGGTCAGAGCAGTGACTCTGGGGAAAACCCTGTTTTTGAAATGAGAAATGCAATCAGCTGGGCTCCAGCAAGGTTATCCCGGCAGCAGTGTACAGAGAGGATGCAGGAAGAGCCATTCGGAGCCGGCTGGAATGGCCTGGGGGAGAGAGAATGAGGGTCCAAACCAGGGCAGCCCCCAAGGGGACAGAGAGGAGGGGTGACTGAGAGCCTGACTCACTGACAGCCATTCGGGGGTGGGGACCCGTCTCCCCTTTCCCTTGGGTCCTGAGATTCCTGGGAAACAAGCCCAATGTCAAGGGCATGTGTCTGTCTGCCCCCTTCCACCCCCTTGTCAGGCTGGGTTAGCTTGTGCCCAGCCTCTTTCCTCTCCTCCTCTCAGCAAGCCACCTGGCTGCTCACTGCCCCATGTGACACCTGTCCTCTCTCCCGCCTGGGCCACGTCCCTCTCTGGCCTCTTCCCCCTTTTCGGGAAAGTGCTTACGATCTGCCACCTCCTGTTCCCTGGAGCCTCCTCTAAAGCTCTTCTCTGTGTCCTTTGCCTGTGCCCCGTGGAGCAGAATCACCACAGGGCTGCAGGTGGGCTGGCCCTGCCGTCCAGCGCCCTGCGACTCTGTCCTGTCCTGTCCTGCTCCCAGCTCCTGTGCCCTGGGAACCGCACTGGGTGGGAAGTGGGGTGAGAGTCACAGAGGCTGTTCCCTGGAAGGTTTCCGGCCGGGCTCCACATCCCTGCTCCTGGCGCGGTGGTCCCCAAACTTTGCTGTACTTTAGAGTCTCTGAGAAGCTTCAAAACCTCCCCCGCCCGGGGCCCCAGGCCCTGCCGATGGAGTCAGAATGCAGGAGCCAGCATCAGTGGTGCTTAAAGATCCCCAGCTGATTCCACGGGTGGCCAGGTTCCGGCGCCGTCTCCTGGTGTGTCCCTCCGCCTCTTGGCAATATTTCGCTCCAAATACCTGCCCAGAGGGCCCGGCAGAAAGGCCTTCTGGTGGCTCGTTCCCTGGAGCTGGGAGGTGTTCGGTCTCTGCATCTTGCTTGGGGCTCCAGGGGACGAAGTGGGAATTCTTCTTTGTCTCTTTCTGTCCTCACCTCTCCCCTTTCTCCTCCCAAGTCAAATCCCAATCAGGGAGGCAAGAGAGTGCCCCCACTGCCCAGAATGAAACGGTGACCCCAGGGAGCAGAGGGAGAGTGGGCCTGGTCACTGCCTCATTCCTGTCGGTTCTGACTTCCTCATGGCCGTGTAAGGAAGGGGAGTTGAGTCCCCCTAGACCAACTTCTGCTTCAACGATGGTTTTCTTTTTTTTTTTTTCATTCATTAGAACCCTTCCTCAAATGAAACCCTGTGCAGAAGCTTGACATGCGACAGACAGAGGTGGGCTGGTTCTGGCTGGGAGAACCAGGGGTGGCCAGGCAGGGGCCTCAGGCCGGGGTGGGGCTGTCTGGTGGGCACAAGGACCAGGGACATCATGCATGAGGCTCTGAGGCTGGCTCCACAAGGCTGCGGTCTCTGTCTACACCAATTTCCTTGTAAATTCAGAATGGGGGGCAAACGTGGCGGCCCCCCCCCCCCCCCGCCCCGCATACGCCCTTGAACCAAAGCAGCTTCTTCTGTAATGTTTTCCTTACTGGGAGGACACGTAAGACACTGTGTGATCATGGGGCTCCATGACTTCAAAAAGTTCAAAACCCTTGACTACATGAAGCCTCGAAGGACACCTCCCAGTCTATTTTCACTCATTTCTCCCACATATACCTATGGAGTGTTTACCAGGCTGTTCCAGGCACATCAGTAAACAAAACTGACAGATATCCAAGACAGAGAACATCCCACATTCTCGGGGAGCCCCCGGGCTTTGAAACAAAGTCATAGAAGTCTCCCCTGTTAAAATTCAAAGCTTATCACATGATGTTTTCCCAATTGTCATCATATTTCCGTACAGCAAGAAGTCAAGAAAGACTCCGAATGAACGTGTGAGAGAAGCAGACACAGAGTGATGGGCACTTTTCCTTGCAATCCCGCGGTGAATTTGTAGGGAAAGCAGAACTTGAACTCATAAACTGTCTCTTCGTGTGAGTCATAATGTCCCACAGGGACGACCCCAGTTTCCTCCCTGCCCTCTTCTCTGTCAGTGGTTTCACTCAGGACACTCAACCAGCCCTACACCCCCTGCCCCCAACTCTTGACTCTGAGCTGTCTCCTTTTCTTTTCTTGCTTGCTCTCTTTCTTTTTTTAATTGAGATTCATAATAGTTTACATCACTGTGAAATTTCTGAGCGGTCTCCTTTTCACTTCATGGTACGAAAAACCACAACACCTACTGGAAGCAACCAGTATACAGAGGGGTTAATTCAAGGTCACACCCAACTCTCGGACATCTCCACCTTCCTTCCTGAGAGTGTGAGTTTCACATGACAAGCCATCCAGAAGAGGAAACTTCCATCCCACCTTCTTCTTGGTGGTAATATGGTGAAATGATGCCAAATCCAGGAAGGGGTAGTGTTGAGGAGATAGAGAAAAGGAGGGGCCGATCTCATGTGTTAGTATAAAAGTTCATTTCTAGGAGCGCCAAAGACCCCAGAGCACCCTCCTTCCGTTCACTGGTTCCTGTTCTGAAATTGCGCCTGTCTCATTCCCATAGCTCAAGGCTCTGGTCCTTGTTAAAATGAAGATGCTCCTAATAAAGGTGATAGTTTAAACTGTTAGCAGCTATTTATACCTCAGTGTGAATGATGGATCCAGAGTAAGTTTTGTTTCATGAGGCGTAGAACACTGGGGGCTGAGATGTGGAGGAAAAGGTGATATAGAAACAGACAGAATGTAGACCAAAGGTGAACTTAACAGTATTTCTAGGTTGTGAGTCCACAAAGAGGTACCTGCTATGGCTTCGTTAAAGTGAGAAGCCCGCATCGGATCTGACTGATATTCCAGGACCTGTGGGCTGCACTCAAAAAAGACGTAAGTGTGGCATCTCTGTCTCCCCAGAGGCAGTGGGCTTCCTCCTCAGCGGCTGAGACTTCCCTTCCCCTCTGGGTCTGGCATAGAGATAAGCATACCATTATCACAGACTGTTGGGGACCCAAGGAGCAGCCTTATTTACGACCAGAAAAGCACCAACGTCCCCTGAAATGCAGGGCTTCCGGTGCCGCGGGCTGGAGAGCTCTGCTTGGGCGAGGCCTTACCTAGCAGCCTGGCTGCACACACGGCTGGAGGAAAGAGAGAGAGATGCGGAGATTTCCACATGGAGATGGAAAGTGAGGCGTTCACTGTGCCCAGGCGCAGGGGTCAAGGAAAGAGGGGTTGAAGCTCTGTCACACCCAACCCTCCCTGCTCCTGGGAGGGGCGGACAAACCCTCTCCTAAGGAAACGTTCCCTGCACCCCCCCCCCACACACTCTGCCTCCGCTGAGTTAGGGTGGGCTTCCTTCCCGGAAGGGGGCTCCACAGGGCACACAAAGGAGAGGAAAGCAATAGGACTGACCCACGAAGACCCTGCTCGCTTTCTGGCGTCGGTCTCTCTAGGATCCATCAGAAATGACGAGCTGGAAGATGCTCCGATTAATTGCTTTCCGGCTCTGAGATGGCACCTCCATCGCCAGTCAAAGTTTTAATTAATCATGCCAGCAGATGGGCTGTCACGGCCGGAGCGGCCAGGGTAATGAACTCATTTATTATCAGCCTCTGTCAGCGGGAGGCCATCCGGGCTTCTGGGAAAAGAAGAGAGGCTCCTGACACCAGAGCCCAGGACACGTGCAGTTTGGGGGAAATCTCTGGAAATGCTTTGGTTTCAGATCATCCACTGGCCTTTAAGAGGGGCGCGGGAGGAAGGGGTGGGTAGCAGGAAGGAGATTGTGACTCAGGCTGCAGGAAGGGGCCTCGATAGCATGGTGCTCTAGATGGCGCTTGAGGCTGGCCTGGCCCTCTGGTGCCCCTGCACCCACCTGACTCATGGAGCCAGGGTGACATGGGGTAGCCAGGGCATGTGTTCTTGCACAGGGCATCACTTTGACCCGCCAGTCCTCAGAGGTCAAGGGTCAGGCCCTAGGGGTGAGTGGCTAGATTTTGTGCCCTGGGTTTTCTTGTTCATTCTCTCTGATGCCCACACCATGTTATGCATGACAAGTCTTTAATAAATGCTGTCGAATTAATGGAAGAAAGGATAAATGAATACATATGTGTGGAGTGCCCAGCATGGAAGCCACCACTATGAGAAGAAAGCTTTGTTGGAGTCCACCTTAGGGCGGAGATTCTCAGCAGCATTGAAGGAGAAGCCTCGGTCTAAAAGACCCCTTCTTGCTTTAGGGACTTACAGGATTCCTCTGACAGGACTGGGGCAGACAGAATGCAGAAGCATGGCGACTCAAGTAGAGAGGCCAAGGAATGGTCACAGGGTGTCACAGTCAGAAGGGACGGTAAGAACAACTGGTCCACCCCCTCCTTGGCTGAGGAGGCTGAGGACCACCAGAGTGGAGGCCTTGGGTCACCCCGCTAGTCAGCAGCACGGGGGGCCTGGACTCCAGTCTCCTGGCTCCCACCCCCTATTCTTTCAATGTCTCCAGGCCTCTTGAAACCCCCTCCACAGCCTGCTCGCCCAGGTCATTCAAAGCAGCCCACCCTGTGTCCAGATGACCTTGGTCCCCTGCTGTGTTTATTCTGCCCTTTGGGTTGACATTTGTGTTTTGTCTACAGAGCAGAATTGTCCTTTTCTCCTTCTACAGTTCGTGTGGGGAGAAGACCTTTGATCAGCAGCCCCTTCCTTCTCCTGCGGTGGCCTGAACTCGGAGGGTATAACTGGGATGGAGCCAGGCCACCGCCTTACGTGTGTGCACACATGGGAGCAGCCTGGGCCTCCTCGCTGTGGAATGGCCGGGGTGTCTGCTGTGATGGGGCACACATCTCCTTCTTGGTTGAGCAGTAAACAAGGACTGTTCGGTTGGGCCTGTTTCCTTGGAGCATATCTTCATGAATATTTGCTGGTGCAGGGAAGTGATGAAGTACCCATAGTCCGCACTATGAAATCAGAAAGTCTCTGAAGGAAGAAATTGGCACTCTGCGGCCATAGTCCTAAGAGAGAAGACAGGAACCATTTTCCTATGCCTCCTGTGTGCTGGTCAGATTAAACGGCACAGAGGGGTGAGCTGCTGAACGCTTGGTTGTAATTTTGCAAGACTGATGGCAATCACTTATCCTACACCAGCCGTGCCAGGTACTGTTATAAGCACCTTACGTACTTTAGATTTCCCATTTAGGAAAATGAGGCACAGGGAGACCAAATCACTTTTCCATGTTCACACAAGTCGTGAGCGGTGAGAGCCAGATTTAGATTTCAGTGGTCTGGCTTCTAAATCTGTGCTCCTAGCCACTGTGCACGGTCTCCTTGGGAAGACAGCGCAGGGAGGCCCGGGGGACATCTCCCCAAGTTCTGGCAAAGGAGAAATGGACCGCCGGAGTTTTATGGTCAGCCTCCTCAGAAGCACGTCCACATACTCAAACCGTGTTATTGGAGAACAGAATGAATGCTCAGCATTTCGAAGGCTCTCAGAACTGAACAGAAGCTCAGGCTGCAGGGCCTGCAGGGGTGGGTGCCTGCATCTGCCCTGGCCCAGGGCCTTGAGAGAGGAGAACGCCTATGTGTGTGGCTGGACTGGAGCTGAGAGCTGGGCAAGTGTTGCAAGGCTCCAGGTGAGGAAAGTGGCTTTAGGAAACGTTTACACAGCCTGTCTGTGTGTGCTTTGTCTCATAGAGACACGAACACAGAGAGATGTCTCCACAATTAAAAGCAATGGCAAACATGTGATGATAAAAGAAAACGCTAGTCTTCTTTATTGCCAGGGGTCAGTAGGGAGTGGTGAGGACTGTGGCCAGCTGTAGCACACGCACCCTCTATAAGGGACAGCTGCTGCTCAGTGATAGCCATGTGGGAATATGGATTAAGTGTTATATTTTTTTTGAGAGCAACTATAAATCTAGACTTTTAAGTGAAATATCTGGACTTCTTCAGGTGGGCTCATAAGTTTGAAACTTTAAGTTCACTTGTTGCCCCTGAGCTGTGGCTTGAAGACCCCACTGGGGAAGGTGGTATCCTGTGGTTTTGGCTCAGGTCAACTTCATTGCAAACCATCCACTCTAGCTAGGAGAGGCCCCATGCTCCACATGGCCCTGCGTGGCACACAGGGACAGTGGCAGGTGGCGGTGGAGCCAGGCAGATCTCTTGTCAGGACAGTAAGACCCAGGGACAGGGAGGACCCCTAAAGGCTGACAGTGAACTTCCTGCCTATTAGCTTACGGGTGGCTTTAATCTAAATTGGAGGAATCAAAAGGATGTGACCCTTCTTGGTGTCCTGGGTGAAGGAGAGCAAGCAATTCATACCACTTATAACAGTTTCTTTTCATCCCCTCACAACAGCCCTGGGAGCTAAGAAGCAACCACATGTTGTTAACAGATTCAGATGGGCTAGCGGACCCAAAGGGACACAGCAAATGGGATAGTAAACACATGCCCAAGTGCCTGGAATCAGGCGGATTGGGGTCCTCGGCCCAGCACTCAGCAGCCACGTGGTTTGGAGCAGCTTATAGCCCATGGGGCTCCATTTCCTCGTCTCTGTAAAGTAAGCGGGAAACGATACCTATTAGCCCTGTTGTAGGATGGAATTTTTTAATGTACGTGTCAGCTGTCACTACTGTTACCAAGTCCGAGTTGTCAGACATCCAAGCCCACGTAGCCCTTATTCGAGAGGTGCGACACACTGGCATTTGAAGTTTTAGGGTGGAAACGAGAACCTAAAATATCTCATTAGTACTGCATACATTGATTACGTGATGGAATGTTAATACCTTGGATAGAGTGGGTTAAGTAAAATATCACTAAAATTAATTTCACCTGTTTCCTCCTCATTTTTTAGTGTGGCTGCTAGAAAGTTTAAAATTACACGTGTCTCGCATTAACTGCCTTTTGGACAGCGTTGGTCTGGAACCTGGAATAACGTCCGACACAGAGTCGCCCCTCAAGAAATGTATGTTGAATGAATGAGCGATTTCCATAGGTTTCTCAGGCCTTCCCTCTTGAGCCACATGCCCTCTCTGGCTCCCCTGTCCCTGCAATGAATCACCTCTGCACACTCCCAGCTGTCATCCACTGTTAGACAGCCCTCCCTCTCCCACAGCCCAAGTCACAGAGGGCGGAGGCCCCAAGAGATGACACACACCCAGTAACTGACAGAGCAGAGAGTGGAGCCAGAATGTCCGTGCCAGGACCTAGGCACGTCCACACTACCTGTTCTACCAGGGCATCCCTGGAGTTTTATAGACGTGTCCTCATAGAGACAGGTGGAAATTCTCAAGGTGAGGCAGAGCAAGTGGTCACATGGCTACTAGTGCAAAATGAGCTCTCGGGAAACCATGCCATCCCTCCTCTGAGACCTTGACCCCCAAATTAAGGTGAAGCCTAGGCCCAAGCACCCTGCGAAGCATTGAGGTTGCAGCCCTTGAAGACAGAAATCAACAGTACTCTCATTTGGGGCCTTCTGTCATGTCTTTAAGTAAAAGGGCCTTGGGGTGTCCTTGTAATAGTGATAATAGTATTGAAAAAAGCCAAAAGAGTTGGCAATAGCTGGCTGGAAGTCTCCAAAATCATTAATATTATTGATCCGGAGAGGCTGTCAAGTGGCACTTGCTGGATTATTTCTTTCTCTCAGTTCCACTAACAAACACACACACACACCCCACCACCACCACAGTGCAGAGTCAGGGTCCAGGGAATCATGTGCTAGTCAGTACAAGATTTTGGAACAATACACTTAGAGTCAATTAAATCCAAATGTGAGGCAGTTATATACTGGCATAAATACATGCAGGGAGGAGGGCCAAGAAAGGCAGGTGGCAGAGCCAGATAAGAAGGACCAGGGTGTGCAAGAATGGTGAGAGTATATGACAAATGGAAGACAGGATTCTTTTCCCTAGAGTTGATCACTTTCTGGAAATGGCCGTAAGTCTCTCTGGCCTGTTTCTTCTTAGGATCTCAGAGCACTTTACAGGTCACATTCCTTCTCCCCAAACCGTGATAAGGCAATTGGGTGAGCAGAAGCTGGTCTTTCCATTGAGCGGGTGGGAACGAGAACTCACAGCACAGCTAGAGCAGATCTAGAAGCCAGGCTTTGCAAGTCACAGACACCAACGTTGCTCAATTGCATTGTGACAACAGGTCATTCCCCAGATGCTTAGAGGCCCAAAAGGGGGAACAAGCCTTTGTCCTCACTCTGGAGAATCTGAGAGTTTCATGAAGAAGAGAACAGAAACACCTCATGTTCAAGGGAACTCGGACCGAGACAAGTCAACAACTAGCCACAACCGGATAGGGCATAGACGTAAGTAACAGAGACAGCTGGAAACAATGGTACTAGCAGAAAGTAGAACTGAATTTTAAAGGTGGAAGGGGGTGTCATTTGACTGGAAAGGAAGGATGGGGCCTTTGATTCAGCGATGGAGGCCTTGAGCCCTCGAGGCATGGAGTGAGCAGGTGGGTAAGCTGATTGTCCTTGCTGGTGACCAAATGGAGCAGGTGCGGAATGTTCTTGAAGTTGCTTTTTAGACTTAGTCCTTACGCAAGATGAGAACAGAGAGCCTGGAGAGAAGGAACTAGTTTGGACCAGAAATCATCCTTTTGGTCACGGCTGTTATTGGTGGTCTTGCCATCTTGCTTAATCAGCAGTATTTGTCAATAAAACTGAGTTGACTGTGTGTTCTCAGGGCTCCCACCCGCCACGATGTTTTCCCAGAGCTGGGAGGGCTGAGCTGTGGGAACCAGGTTTGGCCGGCTCCCTGAAAACATCCACCTGCTGGGAGCTCCACTTGTCTCCCTGCCATCATGGTGAACATGACACAGAGCACAAAAGTGGGGCAAGTGGAAAAGTGAATTGAAATAAAGAAAATGAAGCAACCTGTGAAAAACCAGCAAACAAGACTACATCAGCAGTGAAAGTCAATGAGGCAGACACCATCTGGCCCTGAAAGTGAATGGAGCAGAAAAGGACGGGCTTGCCTCCTGGGGATTTGTGCTTCAACTGGGCACAGAGTCACATCCGTGCCTGCCTGAGACTAGCCTGGGGTCGGGGCCGGGGGGAGCGGGGGCGAGTGTTAATATGTTTCTGCAGAGCAGGACATTAGAGAGAGAATTTTTTCCCTTCCTAACATATCAGGGCACATTTTCACCTAATGGAAACTTCAGCAGCAAGAGTTATAGTAGCTGCTTCATTTCCATCTTCACACAGAGCAGAATTCAGGGATTTGAATACAATAGAGTTGTCCATGAGAGAGGTACAGCCGGTTTTCTGATCTTGCATTGACTCATTTGTTCCTGCATTCATCCATCCTTCCATTCATTCATCCCTCTCTTCGTCTCTTTTTCCATCACCACTGGTTTAGTCCATTGCTAGGGCCCCCTCTCTGGCCAGCCTGCCTCCCTCTGAGCCCTCCTTCACATGGCCACCAGAGCCTCTTTCCAAGCCCAGATCTGCTCTAATCGCCTCCTGATCTTCAATAACTCCCCACTACTCACCACAATAACCCCCATGATGGAGCCATTCCAACCTGCAGACCCCGTCTCTTGCTGCATCCTCCCTCCCCACCCCCCAGCCTACACTCCATCCATGCTGAACTCTTACAGGCCACTCAGGAGCCACACGGCTTCATGCTTTGGTGTCTTTGCTTATGTAGGTCCCTCACCCTGGAACGTCTTCCTTTTTGTCTTTTCCCGCATTCCGCCACCTAGGTGCCTACTGACACCTCCTTCAGTGTAAAGACCAAGTGTGGCAGCCATGAAAATATGCTGTTCATGTCTCCTGCAGTGGGGAGCATAATTGACGATGCTCCAGCTGCTGCCTGCTGGCTCTGCCATCATGTTCATGCCGAGGCCGTGATTCCTGGGGGCTGTTGCCAGCCAGCAACTGCGCACAGCAGGGCACTGAGGCAGCCCCATCCAACGAGATGTGAGGTTCCTCTGGTGTGCACCTTTGGCTCAAGGACTCCCCATGGGTCTGGCCAAACCTTTCTTGAAACTGCCCTGAAGTCCAAGACCCTTCCTACCCTACCCTCCTTTTTCCACAGCTGTGAGGCCTACGTTGTGGTCTGGAGCGCTTCCTGCTTTCTGCTCCCTCCACCAGTGAGTCTCTTGCTTGCCTAACCCTCTCTTTCATCTGCTTTTCCATGGACCTGAACTAATGTACCAGGTTAGCAACACCTCTTTCTTGAAGACTTTCCTAGCCTCCCTCCGGAGGAATTGACCCCTCTCTCCCTCACACCCTCCCCCAGCCGTGTGTGCGCTTTTCCTGATTGCACCAATAACTCTTCGCTGCAATTATCTGTTTATATGGCTGTCTCCATCTCCCAGGCTGAGACTCCCTGAGGCCAATGAGTTCACTGCTTTTTTTGTCTTGTTAACATCACTGCCTAGTGCAATGCCCGTTGGATTCAGAGGCACCATACATGTTTATGAAATGGATGAATGATTGATCTCTTCATTCATTCGTCAGTTCCCATTGTCCTAGACCGTGTGTTAGGTACTGAGGATAGAGAGATTTCATGCACCAGAGCCCCTGCCTGTAAGGTCCTCTCAGGCTGTTTGGTGGGGTTCACACGCAGATAACTATTTTATAAATGAAATGGAATAACTGCTATCAAAATGGTACAAGCAAAATGAAGCAAGAACCAGAGGAAGTCATCATTGATTCTCCCTAGGTGGAGGAGGAAGGAGGAAGAGTCAGGCAAGGCTTCCCAGAGAAAGCAGCATTTGGACGGGGCCATGTGGGCTCTGTAGGAATCATGCAGAGACTCTGAGAGGAAGGATCTTCCAGGCCAGAGAGACTGCGTAAACAAGGGCACAGGTGACAGTGACGTGGCGAGGGCTGTTGTTATTTTATTATGAAAAATTTCAAACACTCACAAGAAAGAAAATGCCTCATTGTTTTACGTTTCCTGTTGTTGTTGCTCCGGAAGAAGGCTTTGTCAATTTGATGTTTGTCTGTTTACTCTGCCTGATTCCCTAGGGTTTCCATCTGCCTGGGAGCCCAGAAAGCATTTGTTTTCAGTTTCTCCACATTGTCAATCTCCTTGACTGACTTTCCCAAGTCACATCTGGCAGGCTCCAAGGCCAGGATGGCGCCTTCGAGGCTTCAGGCATTTGGCTGGACAGGCGGGATTCAGTGACTGTCCCCAGCTGACTCGTCCCTGGGCAGAGGACTGACAGCGTCCTGTTATCAGAGCTCAGTGGCTCTGAGGGCTGGAGCCTGGCATGGGCATGGGGAGGGGGCGCTGGCATCATACATTCCGTCCACCATCGTCTGCTGTTGGCAGGCACCATCTGGCTCTGCTTGAAAATCCTAGCCTAGGGAGCATTTGGAAGGTGGGAGAAGAGCAGTGGGAGAGGGAAGGGAGAAGAACCAACTGTCTGCAGCCTGGATGATGCTGGCTCTGTGCTGGCCAGCTTTGCCTGCGGTTCTTTCAGCAGAGCTGGGCCAGCAGGAGGCCATTCTCAAAGAGCTTGGCTATGGATGCGCTCAGTGCCTGTCAACCAGGCAGGCGCTCCTCTCAGGTGTGTGCTGGCAGCAAAACCCAAGATCTCTGCTCTCCAGAGGCTGCTCTAGAAAACCTCTGGTCTGGAGGCCCATGGCCAGAGTGAAGATGGGGAGGCCACTCCTATAGTCTGACCTGAGACCCTCCTCCTTGCCCTTGCCCTCCTTTTGAGCAGTGAATAAAGTCTCAATTGCAGATTTCCTTGTTCTCAAACTTTCCTTATCACAGAATCACAGAACCACAGACAGTGGAGGCCCCCCCGACCTGGAGTCCTCTGCTCCATGCTCCTGTGGGGCAGCCCCTCCTCGAAGCAGAGTTCTCAGGAAAGATGAGCTAGGACTTCCTCCAAGTCCAAGGTATGTATTTTATGAAAGGATTTTAATTATTGCTTTCAATGGTTACTTGATATACCACTGTATTCATGCACCATCGTTTTTTAAATTACACAAATATCACATGAATTCATTCTTCTTATTAAAATGCAAACAGCATAAACAGAGAAAGTTCCTCTGCACACCCCAAACCTCACCCTGTCCCAGAAACAAGTGCCTTCTCAGTTGGGTGGTGTCCTTGCACATTCTCCTGAAACATGAACTGCGGGCGGGTTTTTGTTGTCATTCTCCATCTATGTGATCATAGATGATAATTTTCAGTTAACAATCTACCTGTCCCTGTTACTCCCTCCAGGTCTCTCTGAGCCAGGTGGTATCCCATGGCTTCAGTGTCTCACCCTTCATCACTCCTACGTTGACAGACATTTAGATTTTCTCCAATTTGTTTCATGATTACAATGGTACCACTCTGATGCTCATTTCCCAAGCTTTTGGAGAAGGCAGCATCTGCTGCTATCTCTCCAGGAGAGTCCCAAAGAAATGGAATCCCTGGGTTGAGGAATATGTGCATTTTAAATTCAATAAAATGCTTCTAAATGGCCCTCAAAACACAGCACACTGATTTATCCACCCACCCACTGGATGAGGGGGATGCCCAGGCTGGCCTCCCAGCATCCAGTCTCATCTCCTTTCCCTGGGTGCATTCCACAGCAGGAGCTGGCAAAGATAAATAACACTTTCACAGCCCCGCCTGCAGCTAAAGGTGGCTAGGTGACACATTTCTGGCCGAAAAATGATACACATGGAAGCGTCTAGGAGCGGAAACGCAGTTCTGGGAAAGCTTTTGCTTTCCTGATGTAAAGGAAGGATGTGATTGTGGCCGTCCCTTCTCCTTTGTTTCCTGAACTATGGTACCCACCAGTCAATGATGCGATTACAGCCATGGGTCACAAATCAACATGCTAAGGATGCTAGAGCAGAAAGACAGAAACAGCCTGGGTCGCTAGGGGCACCACTGAGCAGCTGGACCGATGCCAGCAGCCACCGACTCTGGACGACTCATTACAGGTGAAAAATACACCCTTTTGTTTAAGCTCCTGCTAGTTGAGTGTCTCTTGCTTGCAGCTGAATGAAAACCTAAATGAGACAGACTCCTGGTGCCAGGTACCCACTTGGTTTGAGTTAACCTTCTTGTTATACACTACGGTAATGGGACAACTTTCCTATTACTCTATCAAGCAATAAAATGATAATGGCAGTAATGTACTCACTGCCAACTTCCTATGCATTATCTCTGATAATAGTAAAGATCCTGAGAGGCAAACGGATTATTATTTTAAAGCTGAAGAAACCAGAGACCAGAAAAGTTAAGTGCCTTGCCTACGTTCACAAAGGATTCTGACCTAGTTCTGGCTGCTTCCATAGCTCCCCATTCTTAAAGTCAGGACCCCAGAGCGGCTTACTGAATCCAGTGAGTGGCGGTAGGTGGCACATGCGTAGGGCCAGGCCGTTTACATGGCCACTGCCAGAGAGAACAGGGAGCCTTTGGCTCTGGCCAGTGGGTCAAGGTCTTGGTCTGAGCTTTGCCTCTTCCCTTATGCTCTGAGTCCTGGTGTCCTGGCTTCTGTCCTGTGTCCTCATAACTGGATCCTTCCGGTTCCTAAGCCCTTAAACCAGAGTTCTGACTATAGGTCTGTCGGCTTTTCACTGTAGGTCCCTCCGCTGTCTCCCTGATGCAATCTTCAGAAATTTTTTAAAAGATACTGTTCAAAAGAACACTCTTTGATGTATGCCTGTACATTTTTATCTTCCTATTTAATCATTTGATGACCTAGAACAGGTTCATAAACATCACTAGGGGAGTATAATGGTTACAATTGCTGCCACCATGCAAACTTGGACCCTTGACCACTAGGAAAGGGGAGCAATCCATTCCAGTTTGGCCCCCAACCAACATGCCATGGATTTAACCCGAAGCTTTGTCATGGGATATTTGGAAATCTTTGTATTCATAATGGATTTTTTTTTGGTTGAAAGTGACATAAATGCAGCTCAGACTAACGTAAGGAAAATGGAATTTATTGGCAAATGTCCTGAGAAATCTAGTGGAGGAACTGGTTCAGTCATGGAATCAGGAGAGAGTCAGGATCATGCCTCTCCTGCTCTTTGATTGGCGTATCTCTGCTTGACCCTATTCTGAAGATAGATACTTTCCACAACACAGCAGGTGGGATCTTTCATTTTCCCAGACTTCCGGCTGCAGCCATAACAGAGGGAAACAGTGTTTCCTACCAGCTCTGATGGGAAAGTCTCTTGGAGGACCCAGATTGGCTTCAGTCACATGCCCATTTCTGAACCAGTCCCTGTGGGCAGAGAAGTAAGATACTTTGGTCGCCCGAGCCTGGTGACCATCCCACTCCTATGGCTGGAGTGATTTCAGCGGTTTGGCCCTACCAAAACCATGTGGAATGGGTTTCCCATGGGAAAGAGGGTTTCTGTGTGCTCGGTAGACAAAAGCAACTGGTGTCCACCAAAATGATTTGAGGAGTTGTGGGTGACATGCGATAAGCTTACTCCTCTATGGATGACATGAGATAACGCCTCAGCCTTGAGGCTTTTGAGGGAGGGACCAGGGCTTACGATAAAGTCACCATGATTCACTAGGCAGGTAGAGGTCTCAGGCTGCTCGTGGCAGGGCGGGGAGGCAGCTCCAGAATTTCTATATCTGTTCTTTGAAGAGATACAGCAGTCTGTGCTGGAAGGTACAGAGGGTCCTCCTCTCAACAAGTCGCCCATTGGAACAGCCACTACCTGGGACAGAAGAGGTGATATCCCAAATCCACCCTCTGACAAAGAGGCTCCTCCAACCAAGTGATATGACGGAGCTCAGGGGACCTGAGAGAGACAGACCTCTTCCTGCTCCTCAACGATTGAAATCACACCACTTGTAGAGTTATTCCTCTTGATTAGGAATTATCTCCTCTTGAAAATGCTAATTCCCAAGGAGAGGGAATATTATAAACTGACCTATTTACGGTTAGTAAGAATAAACTTGTCAGGCTCTTTCATGAGAAATATTTTTGATGAGAAATGCTGAGCCTCTGTCTAGTAACTGGACAGTGAGGTCCTTGAAGTGGTCATATCTGATTTATAGTTGAGATGCCCGCCTGGCAAGAACCTGCCCCATAGCATTCTCATTCCAGGTTTTCATATGAATCATCTTCAAGTTGCCTCCAAATTGCCAGTAAAACTATACTATACACACCTGTGAGTGGTACTATTTTGGGTGGGAGGGAGATTTAAGGAGGAATCATGTCCAACATTTACATACATAGAATCGAAATAAAGGGATTGCTGTAAGACAGAGAATGGAAACCTCGAGTTCAGAAGATTCTGGAAATTGGAGTAGGAAGCAACTGGAAATATTTTAGGGTCTGAAGGCATAATCCTTCCCATAGGATGAGGGATGAAGAGGTTTGAGCTGAGCTCAGCTGACTTTGAGGGGCAGGTGACACAGATGGCATCTAGGTTACATCCAGCTAGTGTAAGGCTCATTCATTTTCCTGCAGTGCCTCAAATCAGGGTCGACCTCTGAAATGCATCTCCACTCTTCTGAGAGGCGGTATCACGCAGTGGCCAACAGCTCGACATATGGCAGCACACTGCTGCAGTGTACATTCTCGTGCTGCCGAGTGTGGCTCCGCGACCTTGGGCAACTGCTTACCTCTCCATGCGTTAGTTTCCTCACCTGAAAAATGGGAATAATAGCAGTTCGCAACTTTGTGGGGTTGTTTTGGGGAATTAAATGAGTTAACATACATAAAAAGTTTGAGATGAGGTTTGGCATGTGGAAAGTACTACATGTTTAGCTATTTTTATTATTGCCCCAAAGTGGTTGGGGAAAGGACAGCCTCATTAGGGGCAGAGACTGAGCATCCACTTTCTTATTTAACAGACACAGAGCAGATTACCTCTCGCCGTCGGCGAGGGCCTCTCTGGAACACAGACGCCCTGGGAGCAGCCTGGGCCGTGCTACCCACTGTCCCGCTTACGGCACCTCTCCTGCCAGCGGGGCCTTAGATGGACAGCAGAGCACCAGACTCCAGCCAGCACCAGAAGTACTGAGGCTGCTCTGTTTACAGCACTTTTCCCTCTCAAAAATTAAAGCGGTATGGGCACAGGGTGAGCCTGCTTCTCTGTTCTTCCCCAAACCCCTCTGACCAGGGCTCCTCGTCTTCCTTAAACATCTACTGAGCCCTTGGGTCGGAACTGAGTGTGATGGTGGGGGCGTTTTGGTACATGGTATAGGTCACTCACTTAAAGAGGAGGGACTCACCCCTGTGGTCAGTGGCCAGGGGCCAGGAGGACACTGGAGGCTGCAGCTCTCCTTGGGTTGGGGCTTAGGCAGGAAGAAAGCCTTCGCCCAGTGGATTCTTGTTCCCATAATGGGCTTAGTGAGGAGTAGATAGGATATGCCGGAGGGAGAAAGAGGCAGGATGAGGAAGGACCTATGGTCCCCTATGGTGGGACAAGTAGGTGCTTAGCTAACCAGTTGGCTGCCAACCCAATGCGGCCCAGACCCTGGACTCAGATGTAGGGTGAGGCCAGTCCTAGATCCTTACCACTTAGAGTCATCTTGGAGTGTCACCCAATTGTCCAGGGCACCCAAGGACTTCCCAGTTCCCAATGCCATTCTGCCATAAAGATGGGTGGAGATGGGTGGGGAGGAGGTTTAGGATCCTTGCCTCATTGCTATAGGGTCAGACCCTTAAGGTGAAAATCATTCTGGATTGCTTATTACTAATGAACAAACAGGATAATTTGAGAAAAGGTGAGGAGGAATAATGCAAAAAGTGTTCCCCCATCTCCCCCCCACCTCCACAATATAATCAATTCTGCTTGCAAAGCACATTAGAGATTAGTTACTGTTGTATCCAAACCCACCTCTGCTGTATGTTCTGGGTCTCACCGGCCAAACAACGAGGAAGCAGTAAATTGTCTCCTAAGAGTCTAAACAAGTCTGTGATTTGGGTGGTTCTGTGCTCTAAGACAGTGACAGATTTGGTTCTCCTGATAGACAGGGATGAGGCCTTATAATTTTGGGGTCCTCCTAAATTTTGTGGGCTGTGACTAGAGCGCCTGACCCACCACTCTGCACCCTTCACTTAGAAGTGGGGCCAAAATTCAAGTCCCCAAATAGGATAATTTTTTACTTTTTTTTCTAGAAGGAGAGCCCTCTGTGATCACTTATGGATCCTGGCCCTTTGTCCTTAAAAATGTGGTTGAATTATGTCCATTGTCCTTTCAGAATTCTCCCATGTGCAGGTAGAGCCAACTTTCTATTATGCAGGCTTCATTCGGCCAGGTTATTATCTGGACAATGTCACAAATTGACTGTTAGGTATGCTCAGGGTGTTTTTGTAGGGGACAGAAATAGTTTAGTCCCAATTTCCCCAACCTTCAAAATCTTTCTGTAGGCCTCTATCATCATGACATACGTCCCTGCATTGGACTGACCTAGATTTCCCTTAACTTGGTGCCAGTTGTCCTGCAGGAGTGGAGTGGAGCAGTTAGGATCAAAGCCGAATTGCTGAGATGGGATCCTGGCTGGTGGTTATGGGCTAGTATTTAACCTCTTTGCCTCAGTGTCCACGTCTGTAAAATGAAGATAATAATGGTAGCTACTTCATCAGTTGTTGGAATACTAAGTGTGTTGATAAAGTAATTTGGTGCCTGGCAGGTAGGAAGAGCTTTAGATGTTAGTTAGCATCTTGTCCCATGCTTGGGCCATACTTGAGGATAATGAGCAGGTATGGACTACTTCTCATCGCTCTGCATTAGGTAACTGCGCAGGAAATCTGGACATTTGCCGCGTGGTATGAAGGATGGTTTGCACATTTGGAAGAGGATAGTGGCCTTGTGTCGTCAGCATGTGCTTCTGCCTCACTCCCCAGAGATGCATATAAAATATAGACACCCAGTTCATTCCATTTTGTACCCATAAGCGCCATCCCCCAAGGCACAGGGAATTTACCATCCTGTTGGGTGGAGAAGTCAAAAGTTGACCTTTCTTTTCTACTCTATGACTGACTTTGAGAGCTGGAGGGTAAATGGTAAAAAAAAAGGAGGCATATCTTCTGCGAGTTAAAGGTACTCCCAGACTCGTCCAGGAGTATCTTCTTCGTTCAGAAATATTTATTTGAGCCCCTATGGCGTGCCAGGCACTACTGTAGGTCCTAGATATATGGCAGTAAACAAGACAGGTCCTTGCTTGAGGTCCTTGCTGTCTTGGAGCTTCCTTCACGAAGATCCCACAAACCCTAGCGTTCTAGTGGAATTATTCACTAATCACCCATTCTTCAGCACAGCCGATTCTGAATGATGACCCTGAATGACCACAGATTCTGAAGTGCCCTGTGATTCACCAAAGAAAGACGACATGATGGCCACTATAGTTTTGGTGCTATGCATATTTAGTTGCATTCTAATACTTTTTTTGAAAATGGTCTATGTAACACATCTATATGTTCCATACATATTTAATTTAACTGAATGGCCCATTCATAGACCATATGGAAAAATAGACACCTTCACATCACATGAGATACACATACAGTTTTGTTGGTTTTCTTGTCTGTGTGCTTTCCTTGTATATGTCCTCTGGCCTCACTGATTATGATGTCTTTTCTGACCCTGTGGATTGTGAGTTCCATTGGGAAGGAACCTTCCCCAGCTTGTGCACATCCCACTGATGACACTGCCTGGCTGACTGCTGGGGGCCAGGGCCAGGCGAAGGGAGGCAAGGTCTTGTCTTCTTTTTTTTTTGAGGAAGACTAGTCCTGAGCTAACTGCTGCCAATCCTCCTTTTTTTTTTTTTTTTTTGCTGAGGAAGACTGGCCCTGAGCTAACATCCGTGCCCATCTTCCTTTAGTTTATATGTGGGACACCTGCCACAGCATGGCTTGCCAAGCAGTGCCATGTCTGCACCCAGGATCCAAACTGGTGAACCCCGGGCCGCCGAAGTGAAAATGTGCGCACTAAACCACTGCACCACTGGGCCGGCCCCAAGGTCTTGTCTTCTGCCTAGTGACATGTCCAAGCCTCTCTCAGGGCCCTGCCCCGGGAGCTGTTTTCTGATATTAAAGGAAAGCCGTCAGGAGAATTAGGTCTAATATGCCCCACTCTGTGGTTCTCTCAGCTTCTCTGAAATGACCTGATGGAGTGGAGCTCCCCAAATTTCCTCCCAGCACTAAAGGTCTCTGCTTCTAGATTCCTGGGCAGACACCTGCAGAGAGTTTGGGAGTCGTTCCTCTTTGTGACTTGAAGGAATCCATCTGCTGGGAAGCCAAGAAGAGGCCAGGAGTCCTAGTGTTTCGCTGCAGGTTCACACACACACACACGCACATGCACACGAACACATGCCTGCCCCGCCCCATCTGTACCCTCAAAGGAGAGATGATTTCCGCTAGGGAGCAGACTCCAGGGGTGAGTGGACACAAGGGAGAGGGAGAACGGGACAGAGGGAGGAAAAACTCAAATACGGAAAAGGACACTCATGGTAGGGAAAGAAATTTTATTTTCAAGCTTTTAAGAGAATAATACAAACAACAGAGAGTTTTAAAAAACCCTAAAAACTAGTTTAAAAAAGTACTTGACAGTGTCCCTTTAACACCCACAGATGACGTGGCCGTTGTGCAATGACAAGAAACTCTGCAGGTGACCACCCAGTGGCCTTCCCTGGCAGGGTCCCCAGAACCAGCAGGTGGGCTCAGGAGACAGTGCTCCCAGCCAGGGTCCCCGGGTCCATCTAGCTGCAGAGGGACCAGGGAGCTCGTAGCACTGAGGGATCAGCCAAAGCGCCCTCAAGGGAGAGGTCCGAGCAGCAAGGAATACTGAGACTGGTCTCCGCTCCCTCCTTGGGGCACAGCCCCCCAACTTCCTCCTGGGAGACCCTGGGCCGGAGGCGCTCTGCGGTGGGGGCCCTGGATCTCAGCGTGTGCCAGGGCAGGAGGGAGCCTGGCAACCAGCGCGTCCTGGCCGGGGGTGGGGCTGGGTAGTTGGGGGAGTGGCTCCTTGATTGACAGCTCTGCAGGCTGAAGCCTCAGCCGCGGGACGGTGCTCCAGACCCCCACGGAAAACCTGCACTTTTCTCTAGTTGTGTGTGTGTGTGTGTTTCCTGTAAACATCTTTGAGCCAAATCACCATAAAATAAAGTAACAAGGGCACAAAAAGACACCCATCTCCAAACCGAAGCCCTCTTTGAACCCGCCTGAAATTGGGAGTTTCAGTTTGGAAGGTTTGCAAGCGAGGAGAAATCCCCCTCCCTCTGCCGCCCGCACCAGCATCTCCCTCCCGCACCGTCTGCCCTGGGGTTCCCTAAAGCCATCGAGTCAGGAATCCTGCCCATCCAGGTGAGCCCAGGGGCCGCAAAAGCTGTGTGCCGTCCCACGGGCCCACCCCCGCCCTCACCCGCCTGCCTGGGCCCGCAGCTCATGGCCCAGGGAGAAGCAGACGCAAACTCAGGGTTAGACCAGAGCAGGCGACGGCGCTTTCCCTCTGAGTTGGTTCTCCCTCCGCAGGTGCACACCTGGGCGCACACCTGGGCGCACACCAGACTCCCGGCTCCACCCTCCCAGCCTCCACTGTTCACAGGTGTTTAGCGCACAGGTACCGGGTAGTGCTGGGTGTCCTGTCGTTGTGTTTGGTTAGTTTGTATTGCACTTCGTTGTTGAGTTTGTGTCGGTTTTCCTCACTCTCGTTGGAGAATGGTATTGACTGACTGGAAATCACGAAACCGCTCGTGGCACCGGCCTCACTAACTCCAGCTCCGACCCTGTCCCCAGGCCCCTCAAGTCCCCCACTCTCCGCCTGCCCTCTGCTCTGACCCCTGGGCTGCCACCTTGCCTCCCACACCTGCTCCCCAGACCGCGACCCGCTGGCCCTGGCCCCTTCCGGCCCCGACTCCCCTTTCTGTCCTGCGTGGTCACGGCCTCCCTTCCAGGTCTGTCCTGTCACACTGTCGTGACCCTCATGACGAGCTCTCGGCTGCCGCCCTGGGGGGTCCGCTGTTCATGAGGTCGTAAGTGACTCAAGATGTGCAGGATGGTGTAAGCACAGTGGTGATCGGAGAGAGGGCCTGAGGGGTGGCTGGCTGCCCGGGCAGGGCCTTCCTCAGGGGCAGGGGTGCCCGTGGCCTCCTCTTCTGAGGCAGGGGCATTGGCCTGGGTGGATGAGGAGGTCCGGGGGTTTGTCCTGCCTCCTGACTTTTGATCCTCCAGGTCTTTTGTCTTGTCATAGTTCAGCACTTTCCACTGCTGGTTGACAGCTTGCCACCGTTTAAAGATGCGGTACACGGAGGGTCCCTCATGGATGATGAGACCTGAGGCAGCAGGGAGAAGAGAAGAGCAAAGGCCAGTAAGAGAGAGCCAGAAGAAACCAGTCTCCCTTTATCTAGAAATGAATATAGGTGTTGGGTAAGCTGGATTTATATCAGGTTGATTTGTTCTTTTCAAACCCCCCTTTCAGCCCTGAGCCACGTGGTTACCATCCCTACATTCCTGGGTTGACCCAGCCTTCAGCAGGTAGAAGGCAGAAGCTGCCACACCGAGTTGGTGACAGAGTTGGGCACCTCCCTGCAGGGACATCGCCTACCTCTGCTCCACCCCACCCACTTCTTCGCTTGACAAAATCCAAATTCGTTGTCCGTTGAGGCATAATATAAATATCTTCTTCTTCTCCCTCTTCCATGTATCCATGGTACCTGATACTTAGCAGATGTTGAATGAATTGCGTGCTTTCAAACGCACCAAAACAGAAGCCCTGTGGTCTTTCCATACCTGCTGAATGATGTCTGAAATCCCACCGGTTAAGTTTTTGCACAAATAGCCCAGTGCTAATGAAAAACACTCTCTGGAAGAGAGAACTTTGATGCAGTTATATGGCCAGAGGCAAGGAGAGTCATGAGAAACCAGGCAAATAAATATTATTTGTGTGCCACACACTAGGGATAGTGCAGTGAGCAGGACAGGCAGAGTCCTGCCCTCAGAGGGCTTACATTCTAGAGCAGAGACACACAAGAGACATCTAAACCAGCCAAGAAGACTATTTCAGGTGCTGACAAATGCTATGAGGAAGATAAATAGGATTAAATCACCACTGGCTGAAGGTGTTGAGGGTCCTGTTTTAGTGAGGGTAGTGGAAAAGGCCTTTGAGGGGAGCGATATTTGAGTTGAGACTTAAGTGATGAGAAGGAGGGATCCATGCAAAGATCTGGAGAGAGAGGCAGGAACTGCAGGTGCAAAGGCCAGGAGGTGGGAACAGATTGCACAAGGACCAGAAAGAGGGTCAGTGAGGCCAGAGTGCAGTGACCAAGCGGGCAGCGCAGGGAGGTCAGGGGCAGAGGCTTATCCACGGTCGGGCCTCCTGGGCCATGGGAGGGATTTACATTGTCTCCTGAATGTAATGGGAAGCTGTGGGAGGGTCTAGTGGAGGGAATGGGGATCTGATTTACCCTTCAGAAAGTTCATTCTGGCTCCTGTGAAACAATAAACTGAGGAGCGACAAGAGTAGCAGCAGAAGTGATGTAGTGATTCAAGTTGGAAAGGATGGAGGCTCCACCAGGTGACAGCAGAGCTGACAGTGAGAAATCGTTGGAGTCAGGATGCAGGTCGGAGGTGGCGCCAACAGACTTGCTCCCAGCTGAGGTGTGAGTCGCGAGAAAAATCTGGACAACTGAAGCTTTTGGCCTCAGCAGTTAGATGGGTAGTAGTGCCATTGACTGGGACCTGGAGGGCATGTCTCCACATTGTGTGTAGGGGTGTGGATTTGTGTGGTGGTGGCAGTGACTGTACGAGTTTCCTGTTGGGGCTGCAACAAATGACCACACATGTAGTGGCTTAGAAGTACACAAATGTATTCTCGTACAGTTGTGGCGGTCAGAAGTCTAACATCAGTCTCATTGGGCTAAAGTGAAGCTGTCCTTCTGGTGGCTTTGAGGAGAGGATCCATTTCCTTGCCTTGTTCAGCTTCTAGAAGTTATCTGCATTCCTTGCATCAGTCCACCTCTTTCTTCCAATGTCACATCTCCTACTATCACCATATCTTCTGTCATGAGATCTCCCTCTGCCTCCCTCTTAGAAGAACACTTGTGATGACGTTGGGCCCACCTGAACAATCCAGGATAATCTCCCAATTTCAAGATCCTTAAATTAGTCACTTCTGCAAAGTCCCTGTATAAGGTAACATTAACAGTCTGCAGGGATTAGAACCTGGATGTCTTCGGGGCCAATTTTCAGCCTACCACAGTGATTCATAGTTATATTTTGGTCATGGGAAACTTAAAACGTCTGATAGAAATCTCACTGGTAGGCAGTTAGACATAAGGGTCTTAAGCTTAGGAAGAGATCCGGCCTGGAGATAGACGCCATCAGTGCAGAGGTGGAATTTGAAGCCTTAAGAATGGCCCCAGATCTCCTGGGGAGAGAGAGCAGATAGACACGAGAAGAGGCCAGTGACAGAGCCACAGAACTTCTGATGTATAAAGGTTTGGGGCAGTTTGGTGGAGGTAGAGCCAGCAAAGGAGGCTCTGAAGGAGCAATAAATGGTATAGAAGCAAGAGCAGCAAGTGTGGAGGCCCAGAAGTCTAGAGAAGGAATGTTTCAAGAAAGAGAGTGTGTAACTTTTTAAAATGCTGTTGAGAGGTCAGCTCAAGTGAAATGAGGAGTGACCATTGGCTTAGTGGGCACAGATGGAGTAGGATGACAGAAGTGACAGTGGGAAAATCAGGTAGTTCTTATCAAAGAGTATCTTTTTCTTCCATGAAATCATTGCTCAGGTGGAAAGGATAAGGGAGGAAGTGTTGAAGATTTGTGGAGAGAGGAGAAGGTGGGAAATAATTATCTTGGAAATTAGGAGAATGAATTTACAAGGAAGATAGAGGGGAGCATTATCTGATGGTGTTGAGTGCCCATTTGAGATTTGTGGCCATAAATTTGAAGTGAGTCTAGTCACTGGTTGTGTGATTTTTCTCCACACCTTCAACTGCTTGCTAGGAGCATCTGTGGAGTAAGAAGAAAGTTGAGTTCAATTAGTGTAGACTGTTTTCCGATGGAAAGTAAGATAAGAGAGAGAGTGGGACATGAGAATTATGGATGTTTGCAAGGGAGTGGTTATAGAGCTGGCCCATGGAGTCTAGGCTCGGGAGGAGGGAAGTGAGGGCACAAAGGGTTAAGGGATAATGAAGAATGGAAAATGGAAAGCTATAGGGTCAATGCCAAGGGGTCTCTAAGAAGTTGGAGGAATGCTAGAGTCAGTGAACTACGAGGATGGGGGCTGTGGTCAGAGTGGGCTGGTTGAATCCAGATTTTGGAAGCAGTGTGTTTCTTGGTGGTCATGAGGGACTGAGGTGGGCTGGAGGAAAAGGTCTTTGGAGTAATGAGGAAGCCAGGGAGTTGGGTAGACGGTCTGCATCAGCCATTCTCAACGCTATCAGACCAAGTGCTCCATTTTTATAACAAATATATTTCAATATCCCTTTTCCTATCCTGAAGTGAAATGCATAAGAGAACATAAGTCACTATGGTTTCTTTTTTAAAAAAATAATATAACGCCCTAACAGATAATGTAAAGAAAAACAAAGGGGAAGTCATTTGTAACAAGACAATGTAAATTTCAATATAAATGCTGGAGCACAACTACATTAGAAAACAAATAAAACGCCTCATACATTTCCAAAGTGGCCCCTAGGGGATGGTACCACCTCTGCTGAGAACCACCGATCTACAGAGATGCTGCAGCCAGGAACCGTGGGAGGGAGACTATGAGGCAGGGGTGTCAAGGAATGCGAGGAGTGAGCAGGCAGTCAGCAGCCAACAACTTCAAGAAGGGGAGAGGGTGGTAATATATGATGACATGCACTTCAAAGGAGCTGGAGCTTCTGAAGCATCAAGGAAGAGAGGTGGTTTGGAAGTGGTAACGGGGAGCAGGGAAGACGTGGACCCCACCTCCAGGCCCCACAGAATACGTGTAATGGGAGAAAAAGCAGCCACCACTTGAGAGAGCGATACAAGAAACAATGTCCTCAGGAGACAGCTATGTTGCAATTAAGAGATGAAAAGAACTCAGAGAAGAGGTTGCCAGTGATGGACCCTAAGGACCAGAGGGCATGGCGGAAGGGCTGGGAAGATAGGGCCAGTTAAGGGATGAGCCAAACAGGGAAGGGATGATTGTCCATATTGTGAGAGTGGTCCAGGAGGCTGGCACGTGTGATGGTGAGTAAGGTGATTGGGGATGAGGCCCAATGGGATTCACCCTGCAGCAACTGTAAATCTAGGGGCGGCTGGCCCTGCCCTTGGGGGGAAGAGCTGACTCACAGGAGCAAGCAGTAATGAGTCACTCCAGCCTCCTCCATGTCAAGCAAAGAGACTGGATGGGGACACTTCAAAGCCCCTTCAACCTCCAACACACTGTGATTCTGGGAGACAAGACGGCCACCCACTGTCACTCTTTCCTCCAGTATTCCAACAGTTCCTGGAATTGTGCTTTGTGCAACAATTCTTCAAGGACTCATTGAAGGAGAGACAGTCTCCCTGTAGCCCAGTAGTTTCTAATCCTTTGGGTCACCTACCCCTTTGAGGATCTGATGAAAGCTGAGGACCATCTCCCTGGGAAAAAAAACCAAACACAGGAATTGTCCTTATAATTTTAGGCGGTTCATAAATCTCCTGAGGACCGCTTGTGGACCCCTTGATCTGGCCTGCCTCATTCTGGACAAGGAGACTTCCTCTCTGCCCGCTCTCTCACCCTCTTCCAATGTGACAATGCTCATCGCTTCTTTCACCCTTTGGAACATGTGCCTGTGACCCTTAGCCCTGCACCATTCATGTGTTCATTCATCCCACAAGCCTTGTTTGAATCTCGGTATGCTCTTTTCTCTAGATTGTAAGCCCCACAAGGACAGGGGTCAGCTGTGGTTGAGGTTTGGACAGCTAACACAGTACCAGGAGCTAACTGAAGCCTTGATGATGATGGGAGGAGAGAGAAACCTTGGAGGGAGAGGAGTGGGATCTTCTGAAGCCCTGAACTAACTCTTTCCAATAAAAGCCACTACACTTGATTCTTAATTAGCTTCTTGATCACGCGATTTTACCCTGATTGAATAGAGTGGCTTAAATTTTTTGTCTGAATGCCGCCTTCTAATTATCTAACTGTCTAGTGTTCAGGAAGTAATTAGACCTTTTTAATGGCTAGGTGGCTGAAGGAAAGGAAGGTGCACCTGTTTTTGTAGATAATGCTTGTTTGGCAAAAGATGGAAAAGCACAAACTGCCTTATTCACCTCCACTCCCCATAGTCCTCCTTATGCTTCCTTCTCTATGAATTAT